ATAGTTTTTCTCATAATAATATACAACTGCCAATAATATAATTACTGAAATCCAATACTTTTAGAGTCGTATTTTTAAAATCGTCCTTCTAATTTCAACACACTACAAGTGTTTGTGTAAGGAAGATATATTTTGCTTTGTACATTGAAACCCATTTATACATATTTATATTACATGTATCTTGTTTAAACAGATTTTTTATTTCCAAAAAATACCAATATCCTAATCCTTGTTAGTAGACTGCGGAGTTTATGCATTTATAGGACACACGATTCTCTAGAATTCACTATACTTAAGAGATTGATAAATTTTGAAGAAGTTTTTATTTTTTTTTGGAACCTGGTAGAACAGTAAATAATGTGAATACATCTTGGTTTGACACCAGTTCCTGTAAATTAACTCGAAAAAATCTGTATTTGCATAAACATCCGCAGTGTACTTATTAGTAACAAATAAATATATTTCCTATCCTTATTTTAATTTCTTGAACAATTTTCATTATTTTAATATTTTTAGTTATTTCCTAATGCACTGTAATCAATAGGTGTGTATTTTGCAAAATTATCTACATTAAATATTATTAGTCCATAGAAATATATTTTATTGTATAATACGTGTAAGTAGAAATACAAGAATAATAAAATGTGCATTGTACTTTCAAGTTCACACTTCATACAAGCTATATAACGCATTGTAAGCAATTGGTAAGTGCGTAATTGTAGATGATTCTAAAATACTAAGTACTTGTGGCGGAACCCCATTAGGGTTTGTTTGTACATAGTTTATACTTTAAGTGAGAAGAGTTTGAATCAAATCCGAGAGATATATTTGGAGTCCTCTTCTTGTTATATTGAGTTTCCGAAAACGGGGTAGTTTTCTGTAGTGTAGGCGATGGTGTTAGTTTTGGAAGCCGCATATTTTTTGGAGACGTTTTTCTAAGTGTGTGAGGGGGAGGATTTATCTGAACTCTTGGAAGGCGGATTGGTTTCTATAGGAGAAGGTGAATTTTTTAATTTGTCTTTTGTAATCGCTTTACTGTCTTCCAAGTCTGGGCTATCTTTTGCCATCTCATCAGTTTCTTTAGATGACAAGTTATTTTTCGATCCAGTGGCTTTCGATGATTTAGCAAAACTACTTCTAACCGCTTTAGGTGTTACAATAGAGGTTGGTGATGGTAGCTTTCGTATTTTTATTGGAGTGGTTGGAGGCGGTTGCGGTAAATTTTCTTTCAACAACTCATTTAAAAAGTTCTTTTCTTCTTCGATATTTGCAATCTGAAAAATACGTATGTATAATTATTCTAGGACATTGCAGATACTTTTCTTAGCTTGTTATATTGGCGATACATAATTCAATATCTCTATTGTGATTATTAACCCTTCGTGACTTACGTTATTTTTACCGCTTCCCCCAGATTCCTGGGTCTTTTATGTCCAAATTTACTTTTCTTTATCTTATTAGCTTCCAAAAACTCTGAAAAATTTCAAGAATACTTCCCATAGTCTCCACTACAGTTGAACGTTAAAAGGTTTTTTTGACAACAATCCTTCCGTTTCGGAGATATTTGAGCGGGATGTTTCGTTTGTGTCATAAAAGAGCCAGGGGGTTCATGGGGGATTAAAATTTTATCGTATTTTAACAAATTTACAATTGCTATTGACAGTTATGTTGTTGTTTTATTAAACATTATACAATAATTATTACATAGCCACTAATAGTCATTAATAGCCTTCGTAGTTCTTTAAGTTTACCTTCACCTAAATGTAAGACATTTTATAGTCAACATGTGGCTAGTTTTTTCATTTAAGGGGACAGGCCAGTGTAACGTTCTGAAAAGGAGCGTATTTTTGCGAATTAGACTGTTCAACGCGCAAAAAATTTCGATTTTTCTTCACCGTTACACTTATCGGACCCCTTAATTCTTTATCACTACTACATTTAAGAAATATTATTGTTTAATTTAAGTAGCATTATTATTGTTACAGTCTGCTCCTTCATTATATTTTCATCACGAGTTACGGAAGTTATTTGAAACTCAACTGAATATAATTAAAATGTTCTTCAAATAACGTTATCAATTTATTACTATTGCATATTTAAAAATTTGTTATTTCATGAATTGAAACCTTTCGATGTTTTACAAATTCTCTAATTACTTGTGAATTAATATGGTGTAATTAAATTTAAATAAAAGGATTGCAGAGTTCGTGCAAACTAACCTTGATTTACAGAGGCGGTGAAAACTAGCGATGATCTGTGTCCACCGTGTGTAGGTAGTATGTGAAGGTGAGATACACTCTGTGCTTGTTAATCGACGCAACTGAGATAAACGTACTAAATACTTTTAATGTTTGACATGAGAAAAAGTTAAAAAAGAGTTGTTTCGATTTAGAGCTTCAGTACTACCTATCATTGAAACTAAACCTCATGATTAAGTTAATACATATGTGCTTTCAAATTACGCATTGTGCGTTGCAAATACTCCGGTTATTGACTGAAAAGAATTGTGGTAATAAAATCGTGTAATATAGTGGGCGAAGTTTCTATAAGCACACTATGACTGTTACTAAGAAAAATTAACGTATTCCATAAAGTTGTAGTAGTTGTAAGTCTGGAACCTTACAGCTACTTCAATGTCTTTATTATAAGACGGTTTGCGTAAACGAACTTCGAGTCTTCTGATAACATTTTTACTAAGGAAAAAGTTATTTCAAATCATCCCAGGAACACCTCATTTCTGAGAGTCGAAGCTATTTTGGGACACCCTGTATACGCTTGACTAGTTCCAAGGGGTGCTCCACCCAGTGGTGGGGATGACTCACGGGCACTTAGCGTGGAAGTCTCTTTGAGCAATTAAAGCGTCTTTACTGTATCTGGCTTTAACCCGGAAGTAGGCGGGTTGAAGTAACCGTTTAAATATCGACTATCGAATATCACTGCGTGTACATCTTGATAATTTACCATCTGGGTCGCTTTTACATTGTCTTTTATTTTTATAGTAAACTTTTTACATGTGCCAGTAAATCTATAATATTTCTTGTAAGTTCTACTCGCATTTTCTTACCATGTATGTTTAATTAGAACTTCAAGATTTTTTATTCAGGCGATAAATCGTATATATTTATTATAGTGTAAACAATTACTGCCTTACTACAGATAACTTCGTTTTTCATTCGTTTGTTAAGAATAAAGCATACCGCAAATGCATACATACAGTTCTTGCGTATTATGGGTAGGTACGTTAAAAGTGTTGTAAAGATGTACCGTAGAAAAGCTGAGATTTAACCCCTTGCCCTATGATTTTCTTGATGTCTGCAGTCTCCAGAATCACTTTATCGTCAATTCTACCCCAGAAACAAAAGAAGAAAACTTCTTGCACTTATCGCAATTGTACATTTACTCTATAAGTCAAATATCAATATCAGCAAACTAAATTATTCTAATAATCAATAGAAGCAACTATTTCACTTTGACTCAAAGAAAATAAATAATATTGATGTTTGTTGAATCCATTTTGATATCATCACCACAAGTCTGATTGGGTGTTATAAGGCAAGGGGTTAATACAATCGTCGCAATGTACATAATAAATAGTCACACCAGTTTCTATTGTTTTTAAAATTATGTTTTTGTTTTTATAGTTACAGCACACACACACAAAGCAATGTCTGCGTCTATTGACGTTTCAGGAGTAACCGTGAAATTCCATTCTATCTTGTAGGTACTGGAAGTTTAACAAAAATACACCTACCCTCGGGCTATGAGTCACATTGCTAATCGATCTGAACATTGTATTTATTACTACGCGATTCGTATGTTATATACGTATTTATATTTGCCTTGTTTGGACGCCATCGTTTCTACACGATCCACCGGTAACAAGAATTTGCTTCTTATAACATAAACGTATCGCATTATCTGCGTTTCCTTTTCAGATCAGAAAAATGCCATCGGAACTACTTTGATTTGTAAATGCATCATTTATGGGATATATCTGGCGTATTGGCGTTGGATTGTGGTCTTATCAAATTGGAAATAAAGAAAGTGTTACTCTTTCTTTAGACATACATTCCCGTTGTTGTAACAAAGTGATGGTCTTTATAAAAATTTATGGAATTATATTATATACGATTAGTGATCTGTTGTCGCGAGTGACGTAACTGTACTAAATTTGATGCAATGAGGTGAATAGTACTCCTTATTGGTATGAAAAATCATCATTTTTGCAATCTGAAAAAGCTCGCGAACTGTCTCCATTCATTTTAACAATATTCTTTTAATATCCCCCTTAAATTGTGATTCTATTTCTTCCTCTCTTAATTTGGTTCATCCTCTTCGAACGACCACAATGATGTAGCGAAAAACAAATGATTGTTAATCAGCGATGCTGCAATGTGTACTTTGTGGGTAAACGTGTCAGTGGGACGAAAGAGTTATTCGTCACTACATATAGATGGTTTCCGTTCACGCTGGTCACGTATATACAGGGTGTTCCAAAATAGGTGTAAGTCCTTGAAATGGGTGTTTCCAGAGGTGATTTGAAACAACTTTTTCCTTAATGAAAAACGTCTCCTAGGCTTTGTTAACGAGATATTAACGAAAAACCCCGACGAATCAAAGCGCGAGTCTGCAAGTTGAGCTCCTGCGGTAACGTTCGTTACGTATTACCCCCGGGAGCTCAGCTTGCAGACTAGCGCTTTCATTGGTCGCGGTTTTTCGTTAATATCTCGTTAACAAAGTCTAGGAGAACTTTTTCGTTAAGGAAAAAATTGTTTCAAATCACCCCAGGAATCACTCTTTTCAAGGATTTATAACCATTTTGGGACACCCTATATATCCTACACATGTACCTATGTATATTGTACACGTATCGATCGGAAGGGCGCACACGTACGAAGGAAGAGGCCTTTTAGCCTCTCGTAGCTTTTCGCCTTCATTAAAATTACAAGAAAAATTTTTCTCCTTATGGCACGAGAAAATTGTTCTTGCGGTTCTGGTTATTCCAAAACAGTAATGTCGTTAAATTTTGAATCGATCGACCTTTACCGATTGGCTGATTCAAGTTCATTCTGTAACGTTATGTTCAAATGAATTTTTATCGTTCGTTCGTCCTCATATGTGCCGATACTGTTTCGATCCGTTAAACAGGTGAACGCACCCCTTAAATTCAACCATTGGGGTAGAAAAATAGGGATGATTAATTAGACGTAATGACACGAAAAGCGAGTCTAGCGTTCGAAGTCTGGTGACCTAACATTCTTGGTTGAGGTTCTCGTCCGAAGTAGGCTGATCGTTCTTCATGGCGGTGAACGTGCCAGGGGGCACGGGGCTCTGCGGGCATAATACATTTACCAGGATTAAGTAGGCCCGCAAGGTCTAGCTGGTCTGGGTTACGTTAACCCGTGGAAGCATCCAATAGGTAAAAATGTATACGTATAATGTTACTTTTTTAGTTTCTATATTAAAGAAGAAAATTTCAACTTTGCAAGAAAGCATGCAATGCGTGTCTGAAAGCGTTTTCAGCAGAAACTATACTGTGCAAATATACAGAACGTATCAAAATAGCAACTTTTCTAAGTGGTAAAGTGAGTAAGTCTGTGATTCTACCTGACGTAATAACTGAGAAGCGTACAATTAAATTCTTCCTTTCAGAGATTTTTAAGGTCACGGTAGGTTTTGACGTATACTTAATACATTTCGTCGTAACTTATATCCTTACTGCTATGTTATTTGTCATTATTATAGTCGATGATAAAAAATATATAATATAACAATATTTCATCTTTAATACTTGTATCTAATTGATTTTAAAATTATTCTCTATTTTGTCATAGGGGAGGCCAGGACCAAAACCAGGACGCTTAAGAATAAATTTCATAACTTTGATATTATTAATGTAAACAAGAAATTGCAATTAGGATTCATTAGAATAAACCTTTTCTTAAATAATAGTACGTATCCAATTTTGTTAATAGAAGAACAAATGCAAAAAATAACGATTTAAAATATCATTTATTTTTACGATTTTACCCCATGTCGTGGGTAAAACTGGGTACTGTATTAAATAGATGCAGCTCTAGCACCTATAAGAACGGGACTCGTCTAACTCTTCAGTTCCCCAAATAGCCGTAAAATGGACGTCTACAAGGCATCGTGTGCTATCTGGGAATTTACAACTAAAAAGGGGGTGACACTTTTTTTCACGTAAAGCATACCTGTGATCCACTGCCACTGAGGCTTTCCACGTTGGAACCAGTTTGTCGAAGGTAGTCCCTGTCGTCGAAAATCTTTTTTTCGCCACCACCGGGTTTATGTTTCACGTTATCCAGAGATCCGATTTTACTCTCAGCTTTGATTTCGACTTTTTGTGTTTGGATCTGAAAACAGCATCGGAACATCTTTTAATTACTATTGTTTACGTAAATAATTACAATATATTTGCTAATCGAAACAGTGTTCAATATTCAAATTTATAATCCATTAGGAATGCATAGGAAATTTATCGGTACAACCGCCTTAATAATTAATAAATTCCTTTTTAAGACTTTTACGTGCTTTCTAATCTGAATTCAAATTTAGCATATAATTCAGATTTACTGTTGGAAATAAATAGTCACACTAATTTAAAACATGCAGCAGCATGCTTCGATATCTCCGAATCGATTTTACGTACTTACGCGTTCTTTACTTTCGTTAGTATCAAGAATGCATGGTTTTTCAAATGGCTGTGATATAACACCACGTAAGAAGACAAATAGGTAGCTGTTTCGTGATATTGTGTAACATACTTACGTTATCGCTCGTACCCTGTGGCGTCTTAGGAGGCGTTGCCGATGACTGAACACCAACAAACAATAATGACTTGTTAATAATGATGAGTAACAACACATGCATACAAAGGTTAACCTTTTCCTGACTATGGGACAATACTTTTGTTACTGATCGTGTAGCCCACGCGTTCCCATTTCAAAAATGTTTAACTACGTGCCCCGGTGAGATTTTGTTCAGAACTTTGCATACCATTAAATAGACAAAATAGGAGAAAAACCGATAATCCGAGTTTTCCAGGTTACTATCCTCCTGGTTGAGACAGAGGGTTGAAACTTCGTACAGATTATTTTTTATAAGCTATGTAGAATGGTGTATCATAGATCGAAATTGGTCTAAAGGCACTTTTGACCCCGTTATCGTGCCATACCCTTTGCATACATTCTCGTGGCATATGAACGACGCATATGTCAAGCACTATTTAACGCACCGGGCAGGTAGGTATATGTTTAACAACGAGAAGCAAGCATTTAATTATGAAAACGATTTATCGCCATAACAACAAATATTACGGATTTAGGTAATTCCAAGGAAACATAGCAATCTTAGAAGGGACAGTTTACAAAATTTAGAAGGGCACACTTAAAAATGTGAGTTTATCAAGCCTTGGAATGTAAAGCTATGTATAGACACTGCGCGGCTGGTTTACGAGGCTGCCTCGCGAGGCGTCCCTCTTTTTGATGCGATCAAAGGTGCCCCGCAGTTTGGTCCTTGCTTCGTTTGGACGGATATTGTTACGCGATGCGCACAACCCAGATAGCACATGACGCCTTAAAGACGCCCATTTTACGGCTCTTTTAGGTCTGAGGCGCCTTTAAGGGGTCTGAATTTCAAAAAATCGATTTTTCACTTACTACATTTTCTTTAAGTACATCTCGAGAATATTCTGTGCAAGTTTCAAGGTAATCCAATTAAAAATGACAGAGTTACTGGTGTTAAAAAATGAACATTTTATATAAGTGTAAGCTTGACTTGAAACTTTAAACGCGTTTTTCTCGAAACTACATTTTTCAAATCGGTGATCAATATTTCTCGAAAACTACTGTGTCGATTTACATGAAGCCTTTTGCGCCTTATTTCAAATCAGAAAAACTTGTCCTTGAACGAAGAATTCTTTTGTTCGTTCCATACTTGTTTTTTAATTGACCAAAAACGAGTGATTTTTTAGGTGAAAATCGCCCTTTTTCAGGGAAACGTCCGCTGTTTTGTTCCTAATCAATATTTCAAAAAACCCCACGTTCAAAGACAAGATTGGTTCTTCCATTACATAAATCTTACTGAATTTTTAATTTCAGATGAACCGTTACGAAGTTACACTGATCACGGCGGACCACTTTTTGTGAAGAGACATCCGGGAGATCGCTCACCATTTATTTACTAATAAATATTTTTAAATAAAAAAATTACCTTATAATCTAGAAACTGCAATCTTTGAAACACAAACACATTTTTTGAAAAAGGTCTTATAGTTTTAGAGAAAAAAAATTCCCAAAGAACACTCTTTTTTCGGCCTCTTGACTGAGCATGACCCCTTAAGTCGTCTTCAAGGCGTCACGTGCTATCTGGGTAGAAGCACAGGACCAGTATAATACGATCCATGTGGACTCCTCGCAGTGTCTATAGATAGCTTAAAAGTTTCTTTGAATATTCAGTCATGATATCGTTTGTTACCGATATCAGAAAACTGTTAATTGTCAAAATCTTCAAAGTAACTTTCAAGCATTGACTTTTAACTAAATGTAAAAGATTAAAATTTTAATTGAGGTTATCTACTATTTAAAAGATACTGAAGATCTATGGTGTTATACATATATTTAATACGTGAGAATGCTTACTTTGATGCTACCACCACCAGGTACGTGTTTAGCGTTATCTTTGGAGCCGACTTTAGGCTTGGCTTTGTTCTTAAAATCGAGTTTCACCGTCTCGATTTTCTTATCACCGCCACCAGGCTTGTACGTTGCGTTCTCCAAGGATCCGATTTTCGATTTTGCGTTCCATTGGAGCTTAACTTGAGCGATCTGTATGGTATTTCCAGAAAACATGAAGTTATTAATCAATTAATTACTATAAAGGAAAAATGGTATTTTCAATTTGAAATTGTGTCAACAGTATAGGGGAAAAAGCGTATTTAAAAACATACTTAAGTTTCTTTATTAACTTATTTGTCTGGTTAAAATATTAATGCGTTATTTAAACTTGTTCGTACTTAAAATTGTATAGAGATAAGACAGAGAAACGACTAGGTTTTTTTATCACTAAATGTCCATAATTACAGAAAATCAACAGAATATAAAGATATTAATCGACTCAAAATAATATAGAAAACGAGAATGATTATTTTCGACCCAAATTTTGTTTAGACACTATTATTTGGAGATGAACCTGATTTCTTCTTCGAGTGGACGTTCATTGTTTGGTATTAATATTTTGTTAAATAAAGGAAACATGATCTCGGTAATATCCTATAATTTGATTTTGAGGTAACTCAATGGGAAGGAAATGTGTGACAAGTTAAAGGGAAAATGAGTTTTCGATAAAAGGGTAAAACAAAAATTTGTAATATATTTTTATAGAGGCTCTTATTTTATTGTGTTTTGTTCTGTCGCTCTCATACACTGTAATAAACATGAAAGATCATTTAACATGTTAAGCGCTGGGTCGGTTATGGGTGATAGACGGTATGAAATGTGAGAAGTGATACCTTGGTACTTAAAAACAGGAGTGATTATGTAATGATTATGAGAAAGGGTAAGAAGGTTCAGCTTAATTGTTAATAATGTTAATGAATGCTATACAATGATAGAATAGTTATTTCAATGATGTTTGTTGAAAAGTGTCAAGCGTAGGAATGAAATTTTTCATACCAATTATCACAAAATATTATTACATTCGTAGCCTAATTAATAGCACTTTTCCTTCCAAATTGTTTTACATTGTTTTTTTTCTGAGACTCTTTCACTTTTCCACTGTAATTGACGACTTTATTTTCAACGTTCATTTATACATATTATCACTAATCACTGTTTTATCCTGTCGGGAATTTACATAATAGATGAACTCGCGGTATTGGACGATGTAAATGGAAATTATACGACTCGATTTAAATAAAAAAAGTGGACAATTAAGATAGTATTCAGATTCATTTCCACAGATTCTTTTTCCCAAATTCTGTTATTCAAATACCTGTAGGTGAAAGATCTAATTCTCATTTTCAAATAGCTGTTAAGGTACTCTAATATGATAGTTAGATATTCAATTAACAGTAGTGTATAGCAGATAATGCCAAATACTAAAAATAGTAAATCAACCTTTTTGTCGCCTCCGCTGGGTGCATATTTTTCATTTTTCGCAGCGATTTTGGGTTGTGCCTTGCTGAAGTCGAGCTTTCTATTTTCTATTTTCACCTTACCACCGCCTGGTTTGTAGCTTGCGTTTTCCAGCGAGCCGATTTTCGATCGGACCGTTTTTAAGTTGGGAGAAGGTGCTGCGCCCACTTGAACTTTGTTCATAGGCAATTCTGCACAATCAACCAAAATTTATGAATGTACATTATGGTGAAACGGAGAAATCAAAATTGTGTGACATTTTATATAGTGAAAAAAACATTTATAACATTATAACAACAACAATAAAATTATGCCTCTTAATTAAGTGTTTATGAGTCACAATACAATTATATGTTGGGACAATATAAAGCCAGACTTTTAAGTAAGTAAGCTTTTGAGTAAAACGGGATACTGAAATTAGGGCAAGGTGGTTAGCCTATATAGGATGTCCCAAAATAGCTTCGACTCCCGGAAATGAGGTGTTCCTGGGATGATTTGAAACAACTTTTTCCTTAGCAAAAATGTTATCTGAGGTTTTGTTAACAAGATATTAACGAGAAATCTCGACCAATCAGATCGTGAGTCTGTCGGCCGAGTTCCCGCGGTAGCGCTGTCTACCAATCGCAACGCGTACCCTAATCTTTCGAGCCGCTCGAAACGATTCGAGCTACTTTAGACCGGATCGGTTATTCGAACCGAGTATAGCTGGGCTCGCTTTTTCCGGATATTCGAACAGCACTAGTGTATACTATATGTATAGTTACTCCTCACGAGCAAACTCGGCTTCTACTAGGAGAAAATGTGGCGTGGGAGAAGAACTTCTTACCACTTGGTATCGGGAATTACTGAAATTTGTACCAAATTAACATTTGGTTTAACATTTATTTCAGTACTTGAAATAAACTTACGAAGTGATAAGGAGACGTTTCTTCTACGCCACTTTTCCCCTAGCGGAAGCCGAGTTTGCTCGTGGGTGTACACGGTTCATGCGTAGTAGCAGTGCCATAAACAGTAGAATATTCCGCTCACACGCGATCCATTCGTCGAAAGTATTGTCGTACAGAAAGGGTTAGAGTGAATGATGATTGTACAAGATGATTATTCGACTACGATTGTTTATCAGAATTCATAATTTTAAACTTTAATACGTATGCATCACGTATATGCAAAAGTTATGACCGTCGTATTTATGTCAGTACTGCGGTTTTATTTTATTTCAATTGATAAGGAATTAACTAGTTTCAGGAAAATGATAGAAGGTCCTAGTAAATGGAGGAGATTATTTTATATTGTGAAGGATAAGTTTCGGCGGAAAGATGACTTTTACTTTTGTACATAGGAACAGAAGTAAATGACCTTTAGGTTGTAAAACTTAAAATTGGTCAGAATTTTATTTTCTGCGCTAGAAGTATTAATATGTTAATAATATCACACAGAAAGTATAAAACTTCATCAAACTCTTTATTTTATTACGTACGAGATGTTAATATTTTGGCTGCTACGTCACCCAAATATGGGTGACACGTACATTGCAAAGAGCCTAGATTATTTAAATACCGTTACAAAATTTTGCGTAAAATTAATATCGCAATGTAACTTAAAACAGACAGCCTCTATTAACTAAACACATATATTTTTGACGATAAATGACTTAAAAAGAGAAAAAAAGTGTGTCTGGCTGCGTATGACTTTTTTCACTGTGGTAGTTAATGTGTTGGTGGTTACGATTAGTATTTCGTTATTACTTCGTTTGTGCTTACAATCAGATTGATGTATCATATTTCAGAACGACAGAAACTATTGTTAGATTAATTCGATTAAGTATAATAATATTCGTGAAATAAAATAAACTCGAGCAAAACATTGATCAGCACTTACTTTTCTTCTCTTGACCAGCTGTCGACGAAGGAGTTTCTGGAGTTCGTGGTAATGATTTAATCGATTTGTTTGGTGACTTTACGGGTGACCCAGCTGTTGATCCTTTATCCGTATTCTTAGATATGGAGGGTGATTTCGTTGGTGAGTCCACAACTCCGTTCGTCGCTGGTATCTGTGAAAATGATTGCGCTGTGTTATCAAGCTATCGAAATAGTACCGTTAGAAAATATGGGCGACTCGTATGCGACCGACGATATTTACCGTATTATGTTGTGAGTATTCATCCGTTGCATTGCCATTTTCAATACCTGGAAAAATAAATACAATACTGGAATTTCTGTTCAATATTCAAGTAAACATCAAAGAAGCGTTTCATCTTGCATTTTTTAAGCAAAATCTTAGTACATTCGTGAAAATACTGTATGTTCAGAGAGTTCTAATAAATATACTGGTAAAAATCAGTATCTCACAACAAATATAAACAGGAAGCACAATATTTTCGCCGTAACGTCATTATGTGCGGTTCAGTGTATTGTGCATAATATGAAAATCTAGTAATCACTTTTTCAAATCTAATTTCCAATATACAGGGTGTTAATAAAAATGTGGAACACATTCCACTGGATGGATTCTATATGGCAAACTAAAACAAAAATCAAGAATGACAGAATTGCATTGGAGGTTCCATTTCCGAATGATTGAAAATACGGGCGAAATACGCGTAAAATACGTTTGATGCGTCATGACGACGGCTACATTTTATTTCACCCATTAGTTTCAGTAGGTCATCGATCGAGCCACTGTATCAGTTGTTTGAGTAATATGACCCTTTACGCCAGACGTATTGCACGCGTATTTTGTCTGTATTTTCAACAGTCAATAACTCGGAAACGTAGCCTCGAACGAAACTTCATCATTCTTGATTTTTCTTTTAGTTATGAGCATATAGAATCCTCCACAGGCGAGATATAGGAGTAGACATTTCATCCGATGTATTTTTTCGGCCCACTTCTCTGGGGCGACGTCGCCCCATTTCCACTTTAATGTCACTACCCACCGCAGATTCACCGTTCTCAGAACGCAGAGGTCGCTAAAATCACAGGGTTTTTAAGTGGCCACAAACTCCCACAAGATGAAAAGTCTCCCCCGAAAAGTGTCACCCTGTGAAAGTGTCCCAAATTTATATTAACACCCTGTATATTATCCAAAATATTTCTATATTTTTGCGATCGTTATCACTTTCGTTTCATTTCCGTAAATATAAATAAAAACCTGTCGTCATCGTCGTTGTGGTCTTCCTTTCTGATTTTTCATCTAACTTAGCCGGCGTGGGTGCTCTTTGAATTCTAGGCGTGGACGATTTCCACGGTGTTTTCGAATCAGGTGTCTTTTTCTCATAATCTACTTCCTTGTCGATCGAACTTTCGACAAATGTGGTCTTTTTCTTTTCGTGGCTTACGGATTTCGCGTTGTCGGTCGGTGATTTTGGGGAAACAGGTGACTGAGGACTGAGTAGCGGTGAGGATTTCACTGACAACGATCTCATTTGTCCATTATCGAAACCTTTAATACTATCCTCGGGGGACCTTGGGGAAGAGAACGTTGATTCTGCTGTCGTTAATTTCTCCGGACTCGCAGATGACGCTGGAGATTTCGATGATCGGTCTATTTTTTTTGCAGAGGTAGGTAAACTTGTATTCGAGCTAATTATCTTCGGCTCCAAAGTATTTATGGCAGGTTTCTCGAAATCATCAGAAATTACCTTAATATCCTTTTCATCATTCTTCACTGATTTTGTTGACTCTTCGACAGAAGTTTTCTCAGCCGTGGAAATACTCTTCGCAGAATTTTCTAATCCCTTTTCTTCGCTTGACTGTTTACATGTTTGAGACGATTCTTTAGATTCTGGTACTTGGTTAGGTTCCACTATTGTCGATATATTCTCATGCGATTCATCCAACTCTTTGCCTATCACCTTTGACTCGTGCTTCCTTTTATCGACGTTCACTTCTTCCAGCGGACTCTGCCTTAATTTCAATTTTTCTTCATTACTATTTTTACTTAGTTTAGTAGGTGTTTCGTTTTGCGCTTTTAATTCTTCTTTTTTCTGACCTTCATTCGCTCCCACCGATGTACACGCGCGTGATTTATCCAAAGATTTCGAAGGCACTCTCGATTCTTGTTCGTTTTGATTTTCATTCGTTTCTGTAGGTGTACTCGTTCGGGATTTGTTCGGCGATTTATCTTGAACTTTCAGTTCATTCGTTTCTGCCGGCGTACTCAGTCGAGATTTGTCTGGTTGTACACGCGCGTGATTTATCCAAAGATTTCGAAGGCACTCTCGATTCTTGTTCGTTTTGATTTTCATTCGTTTCTGTAGGTGTACTCGTTCGGGATTTGTTCGGCGATTTATCCTGTACTTTCTGTTCATCCTTGGTTTTATGTTGATTCATTTCTCTTGGTGAAACTTCGCGCGACCTATCTAGAGATTTTGAAGGTGTTTTCAATTCTTGATCTTTCTGATTCTGACTCGCCTCGGTTGGTGTACTTGCGCGTGATCCATCTGGACATTTCACACTTAATTCCTTCTGTTTATTCAGAGATTCTTTATCGGATTTGTTTCCTTCGTGGTCTCTAACGGCAGGAGCTGTTGAAGAAATTCTGTCCTTTTGCGTCCTTGTTGATTTCATGATACATTTTTCATTCGAGTCCGCTTTGTCAGTGATATTTTTGTTCTCGACTACTTTCTCTACTGATTCCTTCAGTTTGTCATCTGCTTTTTCCTGCTTGCCAGCGCCATCTGTGTGTGTTCTGTCGTTAAGCTTTACTGAACCTGCGCAATTAACCGGTCTAGTGGTACCTGTATATTTAATAGATTCTACAGCTTGGCTCTCTGATTTCTCAGCTTTGTGATCAGCAGCAGTATTATTAATTTGCTCATTAAGCTTCCCAGCAATCCCATAATTTGTACTTACTTTTCCATTTAACGTAGCGATTTCTGGCCTTTTTATGGACTGAAGAATATTTCCTTTGTTTGGTAACTTTGATTCGATCGATTCTTTCCCTCTGGAAGCATCAGCATGCGGTGATTTCTTACCGTCCATAACGACATCATCGTCGTCATCGTTTTCCGCATATTCGCGCATTTTCTCTTTCGGAAGAGAGTTTTCTACTTGCTGCAGCTTCTTCGTGTTGTCAACATCAGCCATTCTTTCGATCACTATACGCGGAAGTATAGGTTTCTTTTCTTCTTTCTGCGATAAAAGACTTTGCCGGGATATGTTTTAACAACGATTCATTTTGTTGTGATTGCTTTCGCGGAATTTCTTCAAATCGAGCAAAAACATCCGGATGTTTCGTTTGCTGCGGTACGTTTTGATGTCCGAATTTTGAAAAGTTCCCGGAAAACGTGAATTTAATATGATTGGTAGATTTCGGCCTTATCGAGGTGGTTTCTGAGGTAATGGATTTCCAAGTGGCCTTGGCGGCCCGTATGATCTCAAACTGTCTCGAACCAGGATGGTCTAAGAGGAGCACTACTGTCGAAGCGTATTTGTTGTGGGAATCCCTCTGGTCGTGGTTGTCCTATAGGGCCATTACTTATAAGGTGCCTTGGTGACCCAGGTGGACCTTGCGGTCTTGCCCGAATGCCAGGTGACAATGTCGGGTTTGATTTTACCTACGGAACAATAACTTGTGAAAATTTGTTGCGTATCTGAAAAAGCATGATTTCGTAGGAGGGAGTTGCAAATAGTCGATACTGAACTTCGAAATGGCATTAGAAGAGTAATTAATGTTTCAAACTCTTGAATATTACGGGGTACTTGATACTTTAATTGAATACTATTAATTTATCGCATAATTATGTGTAGGGGAAAGTACAGTTGGGAGCTGCTAAGTTGTCGAACTCCTGCAAATTGAACGGCACAGGGATAAGAGATAAGGTCGTCTGCTCCACCTAATCCCTCCAGGGACCCCCCACCAGCTGTCACACTGTATATGCGTAGAATTTGAGTATTCGCGGGGGCCAAATTGAGTGATTTAGAGAAAGACAAGGAATCCGATTGGTTTTATCCCTCTAAGCCCACCTTCTCTAACAGAACCGCAGGATATTGGGCACACGACATCGACCAATCAGACCATACAGCGTCGCTACCACATGCATTATCATTTTCTCGCGTTCCCTTCCCACCATGTCATCTGAGGAAAACTTCCAGAGCATACCTCCTCTTTTAGGACACAACCGTCTGCAACTCGAAATTAAGGAACGCGTTCAATGAAAATGGCGCCAAAAGACTCGAGCATTACGGACTCAATCGTTTTCGTTCGCATATTTGATCAGTAAAGCTCCAACAGTCAAGCAAGAATGCGATCGAACAATCATTCGGTCTCAATGATTCTCGTGCAATATTCTCATTCAATCATTCGATTATTATTCTCATTAGCCAACATTCGTAAATGTGTTCAAACATTCGTACAATACACGAGCACAACCATTGTTCATACGATGCCATCGAAACAATTGCCGAAGATTAATTTGGCAGACTATAACCCAAATAGTACAAAAACGTCCTATGTACATCTGATGGACGTACGTTCCGGACGTTCTGTATATTCGGAGGATGTCCCGAAAAGGTCCATATGTCTCCGTTAGGTCCTGGTTAAGATCTTTAAATGTCCTAGGAAGGTCCTATTTACAAAGTGGAACGTCCTGAGGACGGCCTATGTCAACATTCTCAGAACGTTTCCCGAATGTGTAAAAGTAACATTCCCTGTACGTATTGGGAACGTTTAAAGAGATTTTAAAAACGCTATAGTAATGTCTTCACAAACATTTAAAAAACGTTTCCCAAATGTTTAAAATTGCGATTAGGTTTCATTCTGTGCAAGGTGATAGGAATTAAGTTAGTTTGGTTTGTGTTTAACAAATAAAAGATTAACTTTCCTGCGATTTCCGCACTTAGTAGAAATTAGATCTAGTTAGTTCCTGTTAATAAATAAAAGGTTAAATTTCCTGTATGGAATTATAATGAAAATATAGGTCTGGGGATTATGATCTCCAAGTACATTGTGTTTACTTCTATTTTCACTGCTAGAAATTAGATCTAGTTAGTTCCTGTTAATAAATAAAAGGTTAAATTTCCTGTATGGAATTATACTGAAAATATAGGTCTGGGGATTATGATCTCCAAGTACATTGTGTTTACTTCTATTTTCACTGTAGAACTCTGATTCGTTGTTGGCTAGAGATAGTTTAAGAAAAAAACATGTTTTTTCAACTTTATTGAGGTTTTCGCACAAAACCACTACTGTCGTTACACTTCTATCTTGATTCTTTAAAGACTGACACCTTGTTCATGGGGTTCAATCACCTTGCACGAAACGACATTGGCAAAAATACTAAACGAAACCATCCCAAATTTAAGTCTTGAGAACATCCGTAGGACTTTTAGGACGGACGTTTCTCAAACATCCGAAATTTAAGTCTTACAAACGTCCTAAGGATGTCCAAAATGGACGTAGGATATTCGGATATAAGTTGAACATGAAACGGACGTCCTTAGGATGTACGGTGCTATCTGGGAAGTTGGGAACCGTGCACGTACCACGACGCTAGAGCCTGGGCTCAGTGTAAATGTAGGTAATACTACATATTTGTACCTTACAGCCAAACTAAACCACGTCCATTTTTCTCCAAATTGGGTTGCGTAGTGTGTTAATAAAAACGTAGGACACTTTCACAGGGTAGATTCTACATGCCAAATTAAAATATAAAAATGACCAACGGGCAACGAGTTGGCCGCCCTTGCACTAGGTTATCGATCGAGCCCGTGTATCACAGACGAGATATCTCGTCTGTGCGCGTATCAGTCGGGCCTCGGTTGTTAATGTAGAATGTTAAATTCTCTAGTAAAGTATAATAGTTACACTACAACCTAGTCATAAAAATAGTCCATTTGCAGAGAAGAAAATGTGTGATCAGTGATGTTTTTTCTGTTTTGCTGTAAATTAAAATATTGAATTTGGGTTAGCCTGCTTCTGAGGTACAGATACCCAGATAACACATGACGCCTTAAACACGTCCATTTTACGGTTATTTTAGGTCTAAGGCGCCTTTAAGCCGTTTTCAAGGCGTCATTAGACGTCATGTGCTATCTGGCAATGTGGTGCTACAATATATTGTACATCTGACCATAACCGTAAGTAAATGAATGATTCTCAAAACTGTTACCGTAACTAAAATAAAGAACACATATTTCTTATAATCTTAGCTTAGTTAACGGTAAATAATACGGCCATTGTAAGTGTAAGTATGTCGGTTTCAACTACTTATCTATACCGCAATTAAAGTAATCGATTACAACAATGCAATAGTGGTAGATATTCGAAAGTTCAGCACATACAGGAGAAATTTCAGTGGTCGATATTGGCCCTGAGCCCATCGATCATTCGATAATAGAAAATGGTGATGTCTCGAAGTTCCATACGCGGTACCTGCCACTGATCGACTTTCCACTCGTTATGGGATTAAGTCACGAATGATTACGGTATCCCAACAGCATCTATCGCGTTTGTGAATCATTTCAAACTGGCATGACATACGGCAGTATCTTCTCTGCAGAACGCACGACTGTTTTCTTTCGTTTCTCCACGGAATCCATCAGCGATAACGATCCAAGAAGTTGATCAAATTTGATGCAAGAGTGAGTTACAGAAATTTGGTCTTTAAAATAGTGCAAAGTTCAGAATACACTTGCTGTTCAATGCATGTGTATCAAAAATAGAAAGTATCTACTGTTGTACGTTCAATGCTGGACAAAGTGACAGTACGTTATCAAAAAGTAGACGATATTTATAGATTTTTGTTTTCCGAATCCATTTCTGACATCTGAATTTTCATAACACGTGTAATTTTCGTGAAACATGGAATTTTGTAAAAATACCATTTTGTAAGAAATTACTAACTTTTTGTATATTGTTACGAGCTAGGGTCGCGAGCAGCGCGAGAGACCCTAATGAGTGTAGGGTATTCCAAGGAATATGATTTGTCAGTTTGTTAGCAAGGTGTACGGAGCCGTTGGAGTAATTTAAAACGAGAACGAATCTGGTACGAAATCGGAGAGTCGCAGGACGGTGAAACTCGTGAAGTCCACAGGTGATCACAGGTATACGGCACCAGCCGAAGTTAAGGGTTTTAACGTCAAGTGCACCCGGGTTATTCCACCGCACTTCACTGCACGACCACTGACACTGACCACCCGACACGATCACTTAATGTATTTTTAATCGAACGTGTTGTTCCTACGTTATGAAAATTGGTGGCCCCGAAAGAGGCCGATTGTTTTCAGTTCAGATGTTACACGTAGAACGCTTGCACAACAGCAGCCGCATTTCCGTTACTCTGTGCGTACCACCAGAACATTGCGTAACACTCCCGTGAACTGAACATCTCTGTCGCCCGATTGCTAACCGACTGACAGAATTTTTCCGATGGAGCTTCCTCTACCCCCTAGTAGTTTCCCTTCGTTACATTGCGAGTTCACTCCCACCACGGCAACAAGATGTAGGTAAAAAGAAACCAGCGTTCTAGGAAGACATGTACTTGGCAGAAGTGCAACGAACGAACCGCGTCGTGCAGTTTCACCGAAGCGCTTGAAAGGATTCGAAGAGAAGAGGACCAACAACGTACCCATTGCTTCAAGATAGAAAGCAGAAACTACGTTGTTCTCCTCGAGGAGCAAGAAAAAAAATTCCAAAGAAACTTAGAAACGGGTACCTGGGTACCCGGTTGCCTACACATGGGTTAACGGGTCATGCTCAGTTAGAAATTTGCAAAAAATCCATTTTTCACTTTCTACATTTTTTTTAAGTGCAACATCTCGAAAATATTCTGTACAAGTTTCAAGGTAATCCAATTAAAAATGACAGAGTTACAGGTGTTAAAAAATAAACATTTTATATAAGTGTAAGCTTGACTTGAAACTTTAACCGCGTTTTTCTCGAAACTATATTTTTCAAATCGGTGAACAATATTTCTCGAAAACTACTGTGTCGATTTACATGAAGCCTTTTGCGCCTTATTTCAAATCAGAAAAACTTGTCCTTGAACGAAGGATTCTTTTGTTCGTTCCATACTTTTTTTTTAATTGACCAAAAACGAGTGATTTTGTAGGTGAAAATCGCACTTCTTCAGAAAAACGTCCGCTAT